ACACGATTACAAGTGCCCTGAAATGGACGCATCCAGTCAAAAACGCAAGTGTCGCCACGTTTAAATGAACTAGCCACGTCGATTGCATCGCGGGGATCCAAAATATGCAAAAAGGGACGAAAGTCCAGCAGCAAATATCTAAAAGAACGCACCCACCATTTTGCAATTGCATCTCGCAATTATCGTGATTGTTGTGCTTACCCGACCGTACTCCACCTCTGACTCTGGGCAGTTCCAAATGTCAATCTTGCGACGCCCAACGATTGGCGCACGGCTGTAATTGTGCGGCTGAGTCCCTCGAGGCGCAAAGTACGAACGCTGTTTTGAGGAAGCCCTCGCTAAACACAGAACTATGAACTATTACGCAGAAAAATATAGATGTGCGTGGGACCACAGAACAATAGATAGAAAATTGTGGGCGCGCAACAGACCTCCCGATAAGATCAATCAGCCTTCATGAGCTCGCTGCAAGGATAGTTCTTGCCCAGTCATACGGTCAACGCCACTAAAGAATCTAAATCATTAATCACGGAAAAGGGGAAGACCGCGATAACAAAAAATGATGTCATAACAGGGCACATCGTTGTTGGGGAATCCATTTTATGACATCGTCACCCCAACAGGGGAGGGTCGTATTTGGCGCCAGGAGAGGGGGGTCGTATTTGGGCTGAGAAAAATTTATTTTGATAGTTGATTTTTCTCGCTTCACGGACGTTGTAAAAGGGGAGGGTCGTACTTGTCATTGTTGGGAGGGGGGTCGTATTTACTTGCTGGCCTTCTAAGGGTGGTGGGAAGTGGTGGCTTTGAACTTTTCTTTATTTTCCTGTTTTCATGCCTAATATTACACCGACCGCCTCGATTCTGATGGGGGGGGGGGCGGTCGTACTGGACTCGACTAAAATTGCCCAACCAATGAGGTGCTGCGGTGTGGTCACGACCATGCGAATCTAGTGTATGCTACATGTTCTTAGCGAGTCACGGCGGGACAAAATCTACCCCTCGGTGTTAATATCGCGGAAATACCCTCGATCATTCGAGCAGTATGCATTAGGGCGCCTCGTCAACGGGCCGCAGCGCGTGCCAGGAACTATTTGCTTTTTCCAGGCTAATTTAGTCATTTTTTCCACCTTGTGAAGATAAGGAGCTGCTAATCTTGGAAAAAGTAGCCAAAACAGTGAAAAGTTGGAAAAAATGACTAAATTAGCCTGGAAAAAGCAAATAGTTCCTGGCCAAACCCCCGGCACGCGCTGCGGCCCGTTGACAACCGCCCTAATCAACTGCCCGGATGAAGAGGGTACAGCGATGTCGCAGATCAGTGACCACGGGCCAAATGCTCACGATCGCGCAGGGGTGCGCCGAAATGGGGTCTAGATAGCGGGAGCAGTCCAACGCCTCACAGTGTGCTCTTTCCTTCCCTCGTGTGCTCCGTCCTTCTTTCTAGGCATCTCTTAACTATTTGACTGTGTTCTCTTCTTTGCGATGCGACTATGTGATCAAAATCTTATTCATAAGTCAGTTGTACTCATCTATCTATTTTTTTCTATGATTCGCAATATACACGTTGTTTTAGGCAGCGTTCAGACTTCGCGATGACAGCAGCGCTTCGGTCGCGCGTTCGACGCGATCGATGCAGTTGAAAGCATGCGCATCGATCGCGTCGAACGCGCGACTGAACCCTGCCGTCGCGAAGTCTGAACGCTGCGTAACACGTACGTTCTTTTCGTTACATTGAGATTTATGTAACACGCTTTACTTATTCTTCTTTGCTTCACTACTTAGAAGTTAGTTTAGATTAGCGAGCGTTGAAAATGAAACTTCACTGGAACAGGAAGCTATTTTTCATAACTTCAGACCCCAGTTCACGAGCGAACACGTTTTCTGGTTCTTCACCCCAAAAACCAGATCTGGTCTCCTCTTACGTAAAACACGACACGAGCCACACACAAGATCGCCACTGCTTCACATTCGAAGTTCTGCCCTTGCCTACTAGTACCCATGCCTTCGGTGGATGGGTGAGATAGCGCGCGTAACATCATTGAATCGGATAGCTGCGGAATCTGAAAACTTGATAGCGGTTTTTTCACGGCATGATCTGCCCCATCATGTCGGTACAGAAACAAAATCTCTGAATAAGTCTTCCCAGCTGGATCGTACTCCAATATCTCTGTTCAAAAGTGGATATTCTCAACGATACAGATTTATACAACTGATTTTCATCCCTATCTTTATCTGTCTGTACGCAAAAACAGAAACAAAAAAGTCTGTAACAGAAAAAACTGACTAATTTCCCTCGTTAGGCATAGAACAGGAGAAGATGGTCAGTTTGATGCTGTGGCATACCAGCTTTCTCCTGCTTGGGCTGGTTCGCTCAACGCTCCAGCAAAAAAGCTTCAGATTGAGATCTCTAGATGATGCCGTATTCGCTGGTAGCTTCATCGCGAAAAATCTCCTAAAACATGGTTGTATCGCTGACTGTTTCCAGCGTTTCGATTTCGCACGGGTTCATTGAACTTCCCCTTCGACAAGAGTCTTAGGAAACATCTCTTCAGATGATAGAATCACTGGTTTGAAATGTACCCGCTGCTATACGTTGGATGGAAAAAGCTGACTGCTCCTCAAAAGGGAGAATCGCGCTCAGCATAACCCAGGAGAGCTGCAGAGCTATGAAGGAAAATACTGTAAGTGTGATAAGGCAGGTGCTGGAAGCAGAGAAATGTTCTGAGGACTGGCGGAACTGGCGGAAACCTGTAAGGAACATTTACGGCCTGCACCTGGGTGACGTAACGTTTCGAAACTTTTGTGCATGGTCCTAGCTGGGGCGAGACCATGTATACGCAGAAGGATAAAGAGAGCGGCGGTCAAAATATCCGAACAATAGCCAACATGCGCAAGAATACGTGTGGTGAGGCCATGCAGACATGAGCTTTTACAAGCAAAGGACTCCAAGCTGAGTTGACCACGTCCTTGTTATACCTGCAGTTGAATATTGAGGCCGGGCGCCAATTCGCGAATATACGGCATGGAAATACTCTCAAGACGCTAGTGCCTGAAGACAACTCCTGCGAATCAAGTGTGCGGGTAGCTGTGCTCAGATCATGGAATTAGTGGCGCCAATACTAGCTCTTCAGTAGAAATGAAGCAAAGAAGCTCGGGAAACACCCTAAAACACAAACGCCTCACCTCAGCAGCGCTCCGCCTGCGGCGGCGTTTTGGAGATTTCACACATTTTGAAGAACTAGATCCAAAAAAAAACACCAGCTACAAAAGTAAACTCAAATTGACTCAATGCTTAAGAGGCTACCGGATCAGGTATAAAGAAACGCTTGAAAATATGCGTTGGCGGGGGAAGGTAAATGTTTTGTGCGAAGCAATCCTGTACTGGCGTGATTTTCGCGGCAAAAAAAGTGAAGGGGAGGGGAGCGGTCAACGGGCAAAATAGCGTTCAGTGACAGCCTCCTTGATCCCTGTGAGTCCGCCTCCAAAACCCGTCTCCAAAGGCCCCTCAAATCTTTAGCGGAAACAAACGAAGCTGTATGACGGAAAAAAAGCGTGAAAGTCGTCACTTGTACGGGCGTAGAGTTCAATCGGAGAACCAGCTGTGCTGTGGTGAGGCCGCCGCTGAAAATGGAGTTAATTGGACAAACTGGGATGGGGATCTATCTAAGGCACTTGGCTTGTTTTTCTGCTTTTTTCTTCACTGTCGAGTTACTCAAGCACCTTGCCCTTCCTGTATGACAAATCCCCTAGCCCTACTTGCTGTTACGCGAATGATCGCGGGGTTTGCTCTTAAGAATACTCTTCCGCCCTTAGCATCCAACGTTACGATTCCTCCATGAATCTTGGCATATTGTGAACTTCTGTCTAGGATATTACTGTAGCCGAACCAAGATGATACAACAGTTTTATTTGGCTTACGTTTCGGCCTTATCGCCTTCGTCAGAGCCTTGAAAATTCAATCAGGGTGAAACTTATCCCTTCAAACTCATAACCTTCAAGTAAGTCTTTACCTTGAGGTTCTTGAAGATGATTGTTTGAGGGATAGTTTCACCCTGATCTTCGATTTTTCCTTCCGTCCCAATTTTCACGAGGAAAAGCACATCCATGAGACGAACATAACTCCATTTCGTGAATGGCATCATTCTGTACTGTATTGATGCAAACCATGCACCCGCGATTTCCCCTTGGCTTTCACTTTCAAGGAAAATTTTGGGCGAAGTGAAACGACCACCGCTCTAGTTTGTCCAATGCTCAGACTTCTTCAGAAGCTTTATTAGGCGATTAAACCTGCCTCTGGCTGAAACGGTTTTGCCTATTTAAGCAGGGTTTGAAGAACGTTCCTTTCATATGCTCTAAGGATCTCTGAAGGGTAAGTCCATTTGCTGACAATTTCACAGACACGTCCCGGTCTATGTGATACCCATAGGACGTCATTATCTGGGCTGGGCTATATTTAACCAACTTTTTGAATTTTTGCCATGTTTTGTTGTTTTGCATTGCATCTCTAACAGTGTAGTGTGATGTAAGATTATATCCAACTATTGTGGAATAATAATATAATCCTCCTTCTCCTCCTCCTCTTTCTCTTTTTATTGCTACTCGTCCTTTTCTCCGTCTATTATCAGCGAAACGGTAATATCAGGTTTGTCTCACTTCCCCTCACCTTCATAAGCGTGGAATCATTTTCCAACCCACCGTCGGTGGCCATTAAACCGAGCGTGAGTCCCAAGCTAAACAGTTAAAGAGAGATATAAGGGGGTCCGGAGTAGTACAATATTTACATCAACGATACGATATTTAACTTTCACTATATAACCCTCTCTTTCTAGGCGATTTCATCACATTTTCGCAAGTTTTGCTCGACAAAATGCGTCATAAACTCCTCCTCCTTACAATGTGCTCCACTGTAGCAGCACAGTTTGGCAATCTATTCGGCGGATTGTTCGGCGGTGGATGCCAATGGTAAGTTTAGCAAACGCTTCCATATTTTTTTTACTATTTTTGATTCCACTACAAGTGAAAGCAATGCTGATACGGAGATTTTCAGCGCACCTCCTTGCATCCCCATGATGTGTGCTCCAATGGGAGGAATGGGAGGATTCGGCGGCGGATATGGTGGTGGTGGTTATCCAGGAGGAGGAGGTGGTGGTCCGGCTTTGCCTCCTTCTGCCATCATTGTTGTCCCTACAGGTCCTTCAGGCGGAGGAGGTGGACCAGGAGCATACGCCACTGCAGGACCAGGAGGAGCAGGTTTCGGTCCAGGAGGAGTAGGAGGCTACGGTCCAGGAGCAGGAGGAGGCTACGGTCCAGGAGGACCTGGCGGCCCAGTAGTAGGAGGCTACGGTCCAGTAGGAGGAGCATATGCCGGTGGAGGACCAGGAGGAGGCGGCTTTGGTCCAGGAGGAGGTGAAGGAGGCTACGGTCCAGGAGGAGGAGGCTTTGGCCCAGGAGGAGGCTACGGTCCAGGAGGAGGTGGAGGAGCATATGCCGGTGGAGGACCAGGAGGAGGAGGCTTTGGTCCAGGAGGAGGTGAAGGAGGCTACGGTCCAGGAGGAGGAGGCTACGGCCCAGGAGGAGGTGGAGGAGGAGCATATGCCGGTGGAGGACCAGGAGGAGGAGGCTTTGGTCCAGGAGGAGGTGAAGGAGGCTACGGTCCAGGAGGAGGAGGCTACGGCCCAGGAGGAGGTGGAGGAGGAGCATATGCCGGTGGAGGACCAGGAGGAGGAGGCTTTGGTCCAGGAGGAGGTGAAGGAGGCTACGGTCCAGGAGGAGGAGGCTACGGCCCAGGAGGAG